GCGTGGGAAACGCCCCCGATTCTGGGTTTTATTCTTAGCTTCCCGAAATGATTTTTTTCTTCCTAAAGATAAAATTTGGGGCACTGGCCTGCTTGGAAACATAACAGATTAAAAAAAAAAAAAAACACACCAAAAAAACCCCCAAACCCCCACGCATCTGACAAAGGACTTGCGTTACGTCACGCACTGATTGTGCCAGTTGTCATTTTCCCCAAACCGGGGCTCCCTGGCCGTGTTTCTGTGTCGGGGTAAGTTCATTCCTGAAGCGCTGCGGATAAGACGCTTCGTTTTGCATTTTGGAACGCGAAATCAAACGTGTTCTTCCTGCCCACTTGTACGAGAGGAGCGGAAGCCTCTTGCTAAGCCGCTGTACGGCAGCCCCCCTCGTTAATCCCTGGCAGCCCAGGAGTTTTCATAACAACGTGCCAATCTGAGCAAAAGCTTCACCAAACCGAGCAGAAGCACGCAGTGGTGCGGCAGTGACCCCGTACGCTCGCGCAGGAAGGATTGGGACCGAGGATTTTATGCTTTGTATGGTAACTTGCAGATAATCCTGAACCTTAGCGGTGTCGATGGAAATCTGTTCCTATCAGGAATAAAAGTATTTTTCAAAGAAATTTTAAGATTTTGACAGTGGCGTAAGTCTCAGAGACCACTCTGTGTATAAACACTTCACAGGATGCTGCCATACGTACCGGGGTCTTGGGAGTTTTCACTGGGTGCAAGTACCAAATAAACAGCAATAATTTAATTTTAACGTCATTGTAATACCTAACGCAACACTTGCTGCTGAAAAAGCGCAAGGTTCTCCTGGACTTCATGGTGTAAACTCTGAGGCTTCTATTTGTAGGGCTTGTACCTGGCCTTCTGAACTTGGGAAACACCTGTTTCATGAACTCTTTGCTGCAAGGCTTATCCTCCTGTCCGTCGTTCATCAAATGGCTGGAGGAATTTACAGCACAATACAAGACGGACCAGAATGAGTCCGCCGAGCATCACTGCTTGTCGCTTACTTTGCTGCATCTCCTAAGAGGTACTTTTAACATTTTTATGTTGGGATAAACTAAGAAGAAAATATTTGCATAAACGTTATCGTTTCTAGCCTCCTTCCCTAAAGAAAGGACAACCGTGTGGCCTTGTGTTCTTCTCTTTTTAATTTCCCTCTAATAACTTTGAACTCACTGGTCAAGTTCATAGAATCATAGAATCATAGAATGTTTTGGGTTGGAAGGGACCCCTAGAGGCCATCTAGTCCAACCCCCCTGCAGGAGCAGGGACACCGCTAACCACATCAGGCTGCTCACAGCCCCGTCCAACCTGGCCTTGAATGCTTCCAGGG